AAAGAACTACCCCATTCACCAGGCCAGCTAAAAAACTGGATAAAAAATAAAAAAATAATACAAAATATTTAAACTAAATAAAAAACTGGATGCCTCAAGTAAACCCCTTTTCGCCTTTGACCCAAATACTTTCAATGGCTCTGCATTGCCCCCTAACGGTGTCAAAAAGCAATGTCGTAAAAGAAACTTGGTTTGCGAATATCTCACTTCGTTTCCATTGCATATTTTCTTTCACATAATTTCTTAGATTCAATTATTTGGGAGTGACTTTTAACAAAGCAAAATATTTAATTGTGTCTACTTGTAAAGTGCTTTGTGGAAGAAAGCTAACCCTATTTAAAACATAATTTGTAATGTAGGCCTAAGGTGTGTTATTTAAATATCCCCACGCCCAAAATAGTTTATAAGTTTATAACCACATATAATCATGATCACATCAACACTTAACAAGGGATATACAACAAGGCCGCACAAGTGTTGTCCTTTACAGAAAATCTGCACTGGGGTTAAAAATGGCAAGAATCAATGCAGGTATTAACACAAACAGGAAGTGATGTAGCTGCTGGAAATAGCTGTAGGTGAGAGTCAGACGTGAACAGATGGAGGAAATAATCCCAGTTAGCAGCAGTGCTTCTTTTATAATGCTTGAACAAGTGTTAGACAGTGACTTCAACTTCTGCTTGTTTAAGAGCTCAATGGCCTGAATCAGCAGCTAATCTATGGTGCTAACTGATGGATGTAGGTTAGTGGGTGTGTGGAAACTCCCTCAGATCCTTCATGTCGTAATAAATTGTTCAGGTTTGAAGGGTAAAACACATTTTAGCAGTATACTTCCTCATTTATTACATGACAAATTGAAAAAGAATGATTAGTTTTCTAAACTATTATGGTTAAATATGCAATTAAATATGTCCCATTTCTATACTTTTCTATTTTTTTAAATTAATTAATTATTATTATTATTATTATTATTTTTATTATTCATTTTAGCTATCATTGTCTTTGTTTTTTTACACGGGGGATTTTGTCAATCTTTTTTTAGCACTCCATAATTCAGAAAATAGGTGTCACAGTGGCACAGTGGGTAGCATGATCGCTAGACAGCAAGAATGTTGCTGGTTCAAGCCTCAGCTAGGTCAGTTGGCATTTCTGTGTAGAGTTTGCATGTTCTCCCCATGTTCACATGGGTTTTCTTCCGGGTGCTCCAGTTTCCCCCACCAGTCCAAAGACATGTGGTACAGGTGAATTGGGTAAGTTAAACTGTCCATAGTGTGTGTGTGTGTATGGATGTTTTCCAGTGATGGGTTGCTGTTGGAAGGGCATCCGCTGCATAAAACATATGCTGGATAAGTTGGCGGTTTATTATGTTGTGGCCCCTGATTAAAAAGGGAATGAACCGAAAAAGAAAATGAATGAATGAATTTAGAAAAATCTGTGAATAGCCAGAACTCTAAAAATAAAATGTATACAGTAGTCAGGATTTGAAATGGATCAAAAAAATTAATCAAACCTGTCCTCCGACAAAAAGGGGTGTTGTTCAATTGTATTTTGGAAAACTATGATGAAAGGTGGTCCAGTGACTATAATTACTAACTTCTACAGTCAAGCCCAAAATTGTTCATACCCCAGGGGTATGAATAATTTCGGGCTTGACTACATGTTATCATGCAAATTACACTACAATGTGAGTACATTTTGCAGGCTGTTCTTTATTTATTCATGTATGTATGCATGTTTCTGTGTGTTTTTAAATATATATCATTTTAATTTATTTTATAATTTATAATTAATTTTATTTATAACTCATATAAATATTAAACAGAGAGAGTGTGTCATCATGAGAGAGAGAGAGAGAGAGAGAGAGAGAGAGAGAGAGAGAGAGAGAGAGAGAGAGAGAGAGAGAGAGAGAGAGAGAGAGAGCATGGAGCTGGGTTGTGGCTGGAAAGGCATCTGATGCATAAAACATATGCCAGAGTAGTTGGTGGTTCATTCCGCTGTTGAAACCCCTGATAAATCACAGACTAAACTAAAGGAAAATGAACAAATGAATATTACAGTTGGAGCCGAAAAAAAAGTAGTACATGTACATACATTTAAAAGTAAACACTCAGCCTCCTGTTGTCATTCTGTAGCTGCATCCTCCAATGGATGCAGACTTTAAAGGTGAGTTCTTTAAAGTCCACACAGGCTAAACCGAGCGTTTTGAAATGAGACGATTTAGCCTACAGAGGACAGATCTTGTCACCAGGCAACCGAAACAGCTTAATAAGCGCTAATAAAATTTGTTATGACTTTTTGTCAAAGTGATTTTAAAACTTATTCTAAGCGATCTGAAGGCAAAACAAGGTATACAGAAGCTGGAAATATACTTCCTTTGATCTATACATGTACACATAAAAATGCAAACTGTCTATAAAATGACTCTTTAGTAAGACATGTCATACTTTTTCTTTTTTTTTTTTTTTAACGTGTTTACATTTCACACAAAAATGTCCTGCCA